GAGGCAGACACAAGGGGAATACAAAATAACAGTGTTTATTATTTACAGTGAGTTTAAATCACATCCACAGGCTGCTGGTCTGAGGCTCCTGGAAAGAGGGACGACAGGTTAATGGCTGTCCAACGGGGAAGGCTCAAGTTGTTTGTTAAGGAGTGTGTTTGTCCTTACAGTCCAACCCGAAGGGAGAGCTGGTCCTTCAGTCCAAGGCGAGCGAGCAGCAGAGGGAAATCCAAAAGAGTCCAAAGGGGAACGAGGAAGGCTTGGCACTGGAGGCAAAGAGGCACGAGGGATACCTGAGAGGCCTAGGATCCAGATCAGGTCACGAGGGAAATCCAAAGAGCACGAGGAACCAGGAAACTGGAAAAAAGAGCAAAAGGTGAACAAATTCTTTTCACCAAGACATTTGCCTCACAACAGTACAATACCATAAGAGGTGATATGCTCCAGCGTTGAATCACACCGGACTGCAGCCTTAAGTAGATGGAGAGGCTCATCAGGCTGATGGCCGCCAGGTGTTGGTAATCAGCGGCCATCAGCAAGGCAGGCTGCAGGCAGTGGGATCCTTACAGGATGGTGTTCCTCAGGGACAAGGGTTGGGAATCACTGGTATAATTCATTTACACACCAACTTTTTGATGCTGAATATAATATCACAACCATTCACAGAATAAGGTGTTTATACACTAGTTATGTTTTAGCGGGAAAACACTGATACTGTCTTCTGTAATTGCCGATCTATATAACGCACCTGATTGTAAGCCGCACATAATACATTTAAAATAAAACACAATTTTTCTGTACGTAAATAAGATGTGCCAGGGTTTAAGCTGCGGGAGTCCACAAATTAATATCAAAAACTGTTCAAAGCGCCTGGTGGAGTATGAAGCTCTTTTTGTAGTACAATAATGAACCACCAGATGGCGTTTCACAGATATTGGTTAAGATCAAGTTAACAAAGTTCATGCTCAATCATCCAGGTATCAAATCCAATAATTCTCAGTCAGACAAGTTGTGTATTAACACAATAATGATCAACTTGTTTCCTGAGGACCAGGGTTGGGGACTATGTGACAGGCAGTAGATGATCCACTAGCTCATCCAATACAGTAAGGCTAAAAAAGCTAAAGGCCAAGCAGTGGAACATTTAGTTATTGCCCACTGAAATGCAAAGGCATCCAATAATGTTTTAGTCCTTGAATATGTGTGCATGCGTTTTTGTGTTTTTGTCCAAAAAAAAAAATCATGAAGCCCTGGAAATTTTTAATGAAACTTGCAGAAAGTAATCATTGGATGTGCCTCTTGGAGCAGTGCTTTGATCAAAACAGCTATAAATCTATATCAACATATGTTTGTGGTGCCATTTGTAAAGTTACACAGTCAAAAGTTAACAGCAATATTTTGGTTTATTTAGCCTTTCATAAGAAAATTTTTCTTTTTTTCAAAGTCATATTTTCACCATGTTATTCATACATTTATACATTTCATAGTTCCAAACTAAATATTTAATTTGCAAGCTAAATATTTATTTTCAAAACTAAATATTTAATTTCCAAACTAAACATTTATTTTCTAAGCTAAACATTTAATTTCCAAAATAAATATGTAATTTTCTAACTAAATATTTAACTTGCAAGTTAAAAAATTACAAGCTCGGACCTAAATTTTTAGCTTGCAAGTCAAATATTTAGATCAGAGTTTAATGTATAGTTAGGAAATTAAATGTTTAATTTTGAAAATAAATAATTAGCTTGTAAATTAAATATTTAGTTGGGAATTATGACATTTATAAATATATGAATAACATGGTAAAAATATGACTTTGAAAAAATATACATTTTTTTCCTTATGAATGGTTAAACCAAAATATTGCTGTTAATTTTTGATCGTGTAACTTTACAAATGGCACCCCATACTAAGGTCATTTAATTCTAAAACTTTTGTATGGAAGGAGGTGGGTGTTCTGCATCCCTTCAAACAATAGACTTTCAATTCTAAAAGACAAATAAAACTGTTAAAATGTTTGTTTTTATGTTTGTTTGCCTTTAGTGTCATCTTGCTCATTTTTCCCAACTTACTTTTGCTGTAAACTAAAGTTCCTGATGCATGCTCAATAATCCAGGTAGAAAAATCCAACAACGTTTAAATCAGGTCCTCTGGACGCTTTCTTTATGTTGAAACATTTCGTCATTCATCCAAAAGACTTCATCAGCCAGAGAAGCCACAACAAAGTCAGTCTTATAAATAGCACCTTCACATAGTGGGGTCAACCAGTTTGATGGTGCTAAGATGGTTCTGGAGTCCATCCTCTCCCCCGCTGACTCTGTAAAATCAGCATCAGGAGTTTTCTAGCCTAGGTAAAAACATGGGTGAATCGTTACTGACAGCAGATGCTGAGAAACAACACGACTGCCGAGCAACAATCAAACAATCACTCAGCAACTTGTCACCCAGTGGGAGCATTGATTAGGAACTGTATTTGTGTAATGAGATTAATTCAAAGCTCTCTAGAGACAAAAAGGACCAGGAAAATGAGGGAAAAGACTGAAACCCTTGAATCTAGGCAAACTTTAGATGGAAAATTGTTTTGCTAAATTAAGCGAATGAACATCAAGAACAAATCAAGGAGAGATAATTAAGAAATAGAGACGCAAATGTCAGCGTATCATCGATACATTGATTGTGTTTACTTTAATCATTGTGAACAGGGAGCCCTCCCGTGATGCAGATCGGTTTGAAAATAAGATGACAGCTCATCACTATCCCTTGTACTAATTTAGTTTGTGTTTTTCAATATGCATTAAAAGAGATAAACAGCTTGAGTTAATTAGTCAAAAAGAGACAGATATAATCCTTGTGTAACACATGAGACGTCTCAGGAGGTCAGTTTGTGTCCAGTCGCTTGTTACTTTGCGTATTTAAAGTTCCATCTATTTAATGTCACCCAGATCTCCCCACAAAATATATATAGTTTAATCAATAATTCACCTTTTAATTGATTCAAGGAATTATCTAAGAAAGAC